TTGCATCCCTCTCACGGGGTCCGAGCAAGGCTGCTCAGCAGTGCAGGGCCCCCGGCTCTGCCGGGGCTGATCACGGTGCCTTTGTGCCCAGCAGCCGCTGCTGCTGACTCAGGGCTTTTTCCCTGCCGCCGCCACTGCGGGAGCCCCATGACCCATCGGTGGGGGGACCCTGCCAGGGAGGGGTGGTGGCAGCGAAGCAGCGAGGCAACGGGCTCTGCAGAAAGCCGGTGGCTGCCAGATCCAGCGTTACCCCATGGTGGGGCGAGGGACAGAAGGGACATCCCAGCTGAGTGAGACCTGGTGAGTGCCTTTGCTTTCTCTGTGGGGTGTTTGATCAGCAAAAGCTCCTAATTAAAACACAGGTGAAAGACGCCTTTGGTCACTCCAGAGGGATGCCCATCTCCTCCCACAGCAATAACCTGGGACACGTAGGGACACGGAGCCTGGGGACAGCTGACCCCGGTAGCAAGTCCTGCTGTCCCCAGAGGAAGGTATCTGGGGACGGCTCGCACCCCGCTGCTGGGACAACCCGGCCAGGGACACTGTGGTTCGTGTTGGGCACCCTAGGTTTCCCTGCAGGGTAGGGGGAAACGAGGAGCCAGCTGCATCCGCTGTGTTAGAGGCACCGCGAACGCTGGACAGAATGCCCCCTGACCCCTGTGGGGGACCCCAGGCTGGCCCCGGGGTCACAGCCATGCAGAGATGGGCTCTGCACCTCCCCAAAACCCCCCTCGATGATGGGAGCGGGGACCCACCCGTCTCACCCTGCGCTTTTGCTGCCTGGCTCCATTGACCCAAAACCCCTTTTGAAGAGCATCTTGAAGCTCAATTTAATTTTATTTCATTTTTGGGGGGGTTAGCCCAGGTCAGCCTCTTCAGTGTTACCGCAAATCCTGTCCCACCTTCAAGGGGGCACCACGGCAGTGCACGGTCAGCTCCTCTCCACCCCAGCCCTGCCCGTAGGGATGTGCCCTCCACCCTGTACTCCTGGGGGGGTTCCCCAAACCCAGGATCCC